CGCATGCTTCCAATTTGGAGACAAGGATACCAAGGATACTTGTCTCCAATTTGGAGACAAGGATCAATACTAACACCCTCCCTACATCTAACATTTGAAAACATTACCATGACATACTTATCGTAAGATCCAGAAATAAGGGTCTGCGTTTCAAACGGATGAAATTGCACTGTCTGGACCTAGATAACATAAGATTTTATTTTCAGAAATAAGCACTGAGATGTAACACACACATATAGGAACTTTCTTTGACCAAACAGAGCACAATCCTCCTTCCCCAAAAACCAGCACATTTCCCCTCAAAAAAATCTCCTATTGAGCTTGTTTTTACTCAGATTTCTCATAAAACAGTGGAAACAAGGTATTTTCCAATATAGTTTAACTGAACAGAACCACATGCTCCCTTTCGGCCTTTGATATTAAAAAAAAACTAATCTGGAGGAGGTAAAAGAATAGCTGCTTCCAGTCTGGGGAAAAATGCAGATGTCAGCAAAAAATAAAAATCAGGAGTTTGCCAAGGGCAGTGACTTTGGGAACAGCAAAATAAGGTTATAGCTATTAATAACTAACTTTCACATTGTAATTACTGTGAGATGAATTCATTGCTGAAGTAGCCATCATGGTATTTTAGTATCACTTACGTTAAACCTTTATTACCCAGAACAAACTGTAACCAATACTCATTGTTTCCTTAAGAGAGAGTTACAGTTTGACCTATGCTCAGACATCTATTTTTTGTAGCTTATAACAGCACTATTAGATTCCCAACCATCAGGGCTTTCACACAAATGGCATTTTAAAAACTGCTCTAAATCTTTGCCAACTTTGCAAAGGGAAAGTGAAATAACATTTTAAAAAGTAAACGCAGCACTGTTTGCCAAAGCAACTAATTCATAAATTTAAAGAATTCTGCACAGTTATTAGAAAACTACAGAACTGTTGTTCTAAGGGTTCACTACCACCAAGCAGCTAATGAAAAACTGCAGTTATTTTTAATTTGTATTTTACAGTGGGAGAAACATAGCAATTATTACATACCTTGTCTGTATGCAGCATCAGGCTGGCTGCTGGCTTACCCGCAGACATATCCCACAGAATCACAGTATTGTCAGCAGATGCACTTGCTAAAACATTCCTGATAATGGATCAAAAAAAAAGTTTTAAAGATCTTTATACAGATACAAACAAATAATGGTAAAAAATCCAAAATACATACAAAGCCTTATTCAGAAATCAAGTGTGCTCCAGCCTATAAACTATATATCTCAAGCCTGAGAGATAACTCCCTGAAAGTAATTCTAAGTTACAAGTAAAGACTACAAACAGGCTATAATACATTAAATTAGTACACTTATAAAAGTAAGTGTCAGTTTTGCTTGTATTTCCCCACACAGACCATTTAAAATACCATTTACTGGAAGATTTATTAAGAAAGATGGGCTCTTAAGCACTTCCTTCCCTTTGAGATTAAGACAGTATTTTTAAACATTACCTATGCAACTTGGTTTTATTTGCAGATGCATACAGCCAAGAGCCAGACAAATCTATTATTTCAAAATATTTTGCTCTCCAGTATCTGAGTGTCTGTATAACTACTGAAGACCCAACACTGTCAAATACACAGTACAATTGCAAGGAGGGCTCTTTAAAAACAGATCTATTACCTCAACATGCTGTTTATGATTCAAACTGCTCCCCCATCCTCTTTTTTTTTTTTTTTTCTAATACTGACCAGGTGTTTCTGATGGAAAGAGCTAACATTCTCCTGGAAACACTATCCTCCCAAGCAACGTTACAAGGGAAAGTTAAGAAAATGCACAGTGAAGGCTATAAGAACATTTAACAGTAACATCATTATGACCTAGAGGCAGAAAGCTATTTATAGAGAGCTGTCACAGTATGTCTTGCTTAAAAAAAACCAAACAAACAACAAAACATTTAAATATAGCTGCTTCAAGGAGTTCCTTGTTTTGCCCCTAAGCTTTGCACTTCAAGGCTGTTTTTATTTCCTGCAAGACTCACTGACCAGTATCAATGAGTTCGCAACTCAGCACGTTGCCGAATGATGCATTCCAGGCACTTAAGTATTGGAGTCGTAATTTTTGTGACTTCCCTCTATATTATCACCAGACAACCATTTCTAGGTACATGAAAGCTACTCTTTTGTAACACTGATGGAATGATCACTACCACACTCTGTGCATATGCATAATTTAAGAACAATAGACAATGCACTGTAAATTAAGAGTGCCATTTATGTACATTTACTGCATGTCTATGTGGGTGTTTCCTTCTTCAGTATCTAGATAACAAAGCATTGTAACTGAAGGTTTACACCTGCTCATCAGGGGTACATGTTGTTGACTACATGTATCTTCAGAGACATTTATGACAGCAGGAAAAACAAAATTAAAAACAAAACAAAACAAAAAAACAGCCTGTGTCTGACTGGAACAGTTTCAAGGTCCGTGCTGAGGATCCTCTGACAGCTGAACTGTTAAAAACCACCTAAGTGATAAAAAAAATAGCAGCATCTTTATTTCAGTCAGCACATTGCCCCTGACCTCTCCCCAAAGATGGGCCAGCTTTGTGTTGCTTTGATAGCAGCACTTAATTGCTAGTTCATTCAGACAACAGGAAATTCTCTCTGCCTAGGATAACCCAAAGGTCAGAGGCATTTCTGTGCTATTTGGGCTTTTACATTCTCTTTTCTGTTCACAACTCTGAGGCAAAAGGAACAGCATAGCAAGGACTTCCTTCTATAAATCTACTTATATCTGTTGAAATGGTGGTTCAGGTCACTGGCAGATCAGCACAGATCAGGTCAGCCCTTCTGCTTCTCCAATTTGTGTACCTAACTTAAATGTAGCCAATATACCACATGCTTAGACCCACCTTAGCCCTGCCCTCATCGAGACAACTTGCAAATAAAAAGTGATCTGCAGCAATATATAGGTTTAAAAAAAAAAATAAAAAAAAAAAGTTTTTTGGAAAAAAAAAAAAAAAAAGTGGTGTGTGTATTTTTAAGAATTGGTTCATTTCAGCACTGCTTTCATATTACATCAGATTTTGTATCTGTGTGAAAAATGTATGCCTAATTAAGTACAGAAATTTGTAACTATCCATCGTTATTCAAGTATTCTTTTACCTGCTTTGTTTATTCCATGACAGATCAAGCACAGCATCAGTATGTCCTTTCACTGTCCCTTCTGAAGATAAATTCTGTGTATGCAGATACAACATACTTTTGAAAATTACAGCTTCAATGGAAATCAAGCATTACAACACATTAGTATGAACTCCTTAATGCCTTCAGAAACAACTTCATGTTTTAAATTATTCTTACTTACTGCAACAAGGCTTTTGATAGAACTGCCTCTGCAGTACCTGCACCTTGCCTCCTACCCCAGATCTCAGATTGCTCCACTCACAGCTGGTGGACTTACAGAACTGGCTACTCCCTTCAGACTTGCAGAAGAAATTTCATTGTCTCCAGCTAACGTGCAACTTCTTTGTAAACACTCTGGGCAGTTCCCTCTCCCTCCTCTCAACTAACCGAGCTTTAGGTCCTTGTAGCTCCTACAAATTCTAATTTAAAATGGTTAAGCTTCAAAGTTTACTGGGACAACAACTGGAAACCACCCATAAGCCACCCCATTTCTTTTCTGTTCTTAATTATAGGCTTTAATTATCCTTACAGAGAATTTAGGATTTCAAATTGACTTAACATTTATGAATGGTATCATCACCCACAATTCTGATCACTCAGTGATTTTCAGAAGCAAGTTTCATAGAACAAACTCCTCTTCCAAGGACAGTTTTCCTATTGTTTTTAAAACCAGAAGGTCTGAGAGCTCAAGAAGTCACCCCTCCTCACAATCACAGAGTAGTTCTTTAGCTGACTAACACTGCAGTGCTCCTTTGTTTGGGAAGCCAAAATTAGCCATATACACAGTGTTCACCTCCCTAGTTACTCTAGGGAGTCTTTAAGCGTCTACTATAAGCAAAATCTAGAAGATTAAGTTATGTTATCTTCCATACTTGTTATCCATTACCAAAGAATTCGGACAAATCATAACACCACATTCAGGAATACAATTAGGGCCAGATTAATCTCACATAATTCAGCATCCAGTCTAAACCTCAGTCTTCCTCTTTGGTAGTTAAGGTTTTGTCTGCAGTCCACTAAAAGAAACTCAGCCATTCTCTGGGGGTGTCTCTATGCATTCTCCTTAGACAGCCTCGATGACTAGCTTAAAATATACTTAAATTTTAGACAGATAAAGGTAACAGAGGTGAATCCTGAGTAAATGTATTTTATTAGTTTCAACCTTGTCCTTTATTGCTCAATGCCGTTTCAACTCTCTGAGTCACAGGAAAATACTAATTTTAACCTATCACAGATAACTATGACTTTATCTTCTGTAACCTGTTTAAACACCATCTTTCAACATGACAGAAGGAATTAAACCAGATTATCTATGATTTTTTCAGTGTAGGAAAAAAAGTAATAACATTATCCTAGTGCTAAGTTTCCTCCATCCAACCAGATAAACCACTTTGCAATACTTACTTTCTTTCCTTTCTTTTTCTTCTTTTTCCCTTTCTCGCCTCCAAGAGAAAAGACTGGTTCCAAGGATTCTACTATATCAAGGTCCCAGATGTCAATAACTGGGGTCATGTTACCCACTGCAACATAATTTCCTACAAGCAGAAATCCAAATGCAACCACATTTATTTAGAGTTATGAAACAGCATATTTGGCTGGTGCTTATTTCTTATACTTCTTCTTTAGGTTTCTTATATAGAACTTATACTTATTTGCCAGAACCTTCTATTCACAGAATCACACAGAATCACAGACTGTTCAAACATCTTTGATGATTATAACTGACAAGGAGCCATTTAAAAATATCAACTGACAGCAGATGTTGACAGAGAAAAATTTACTTGATACACTTCCCCTTCAGCACAAGTAACTGTTCAAAGATGCTGTATGAAGTTCCACGTTTTGTTGGTTTTTTTTAAGGAAAAAGGAAAAACACAACACATTCCCTGTGCTATGGAAAAAAAAAAAGTAAAAATCAGGAAAAAGGTTACTAAATGCATAAATATATATAAAAATTTTGCTGTGTTTTACAGTTAATCAGCTGCATTGGCCATATGAGTTTGAGGAAAAGCAACCTTTCATTTGCAAATGGAAAATAAAGCAGATGAGAGAAGAGCTTGCTCTGGTCTGCTAATTGACAGTAACTTAATTATTTGTAATAAAAACAGTGTTTTAGTCAAATGACTTCTTAGGGCAGCATCACTAAGATGACTGTATCACCAAACCAAAAAAACTGATATTCAGTTTTTCCATCTTAATATCTTGGTTTTATTTCTGCTCATACCATTGGAGGAAATTATTTAGTGACAACATTACATTTATATACTTTTCAAGTAAAAATTATTTAACTGGACATTACAGTATCCTTTGAAATTTACCTGGTGATTCATCGGGACTAGGATCAAAATTCAACCACTCCAGACTTAGAGGGTAAGCAGGCAAGATAATATCATGATGTACATAAAACGAGTTCTCTTCATGATTATAAACTGAAAAAGAATTAAAGATATACAAGACATCAGTGAAGAGGAAAAGCAAGCAACTATAAACAGTTCACTTCTGCAAAAGGCAGATGTGGCAAACACTAAATTGTCAAGGACACCTAAAACGTAAATTCACAGTGTGTTCAGAGTTTTAGCATATAGGCCAGAGCCTCCAAGTACTCATGTTATATCTCACAGAATTACACAAAACAAACGTTCTCCTGTGTACTTTAGACAAAGAAGTGACAAGCTCAGCAGAGCTTAGACACTTTATGCCTAGCAGACTACGCTACTTTGTAGCGTCAAAATGGATGCTCCGTGTCCACCACTTTCTACATCAGGATACATTAATGAAGGTTTGGACATTCATTTTACAGAATCAGCAACTAAAAAAGAAGAGAAAATAAATAATTCCAGAGGAAATCAAAGGGGAAATGAGCGTAAAAGACAGAGTTTTCAAAGTAGAGAAAGCTGAAGAAGTCAGATGAAGTTACCTTTAGCAGGTCATAACTAAGACACAGGAAGACTTTTGGTGAAGTAGCCATATACCAAACACAACTTTCCCTTCAGCCAGCTATTTTTCTCCTTATAATAAAAGAATTTACTAACTGGATAGCAGAGAAAACCCATCAATTGTTTTAATAACATAGTATCATCACACACACAAAATCACTGTGCCATTTTTAAGTGCACGTAACAGATGTTCAGATATTAATTAAATCTTCAGTTAACTAAGTAGTCTTAGTAATTAATGAAGACAGGGCTACCCAATGCTGTAAACTGCAGAAGCCTGTACTATTGTTTTATAAGTTTATACAAGGAAAATAACACAGTTAATAAAATTTGTAAACACCTCCAGATACAGAAAATGCCAGAAGCTGTTATCTGAAGAGATGTCTTCAAACACTCTGGTCTTGCTGTTTTCTTAAAACAGAATACTTTGCCTGCAGAAACACGTACCATAGCAGTAGTCAGAAACATGCCCCCAAAGAACCACTGCAAGAAAAGACCTCAGCACACTCAGTAGTACTCCTTGCTGCAACAGAAAAGTCTCTTACACAGTAAAACTAAACCCATGTCTAGAACAAGCGGTATTCAGACCTTATTAAGGATCATCTCTTCTAAAACAAAGATGATAAAGGTGCTGATTTTTCTACTCCTAGCAGCAGAAAGCACATTTAAAGAAGCAAGGAGAAAGCAAGGAAAAAAAAACAACCCAACAAACCACTAGAGGAAGTTTGTGTGATATAGAAAGTGAGACTGTTTAGGAAAAAGAACGTATGTTTGGAGAAAAACAACTTTGATAAACACCTCTCCCTCTTCTACAGAGCCATATGAACAGGACAGGCAAGATGTATTCCCTAAGTTCACTGTAAGGAACAAATCCTATGTTACTTACCATGGACCTCCAAACTACAGCAGTCTTTATCAACTCTGCCACAAAGGACAAGATTGTCACTGGGCTTAATCAAAAAGTCCTCCTGTTCATATTGATCCTGAACAGCAAAAAGCACAACAGATGTTAAGCAAAGCACATAAACACACAAAACTACATGTGTTCAAAAGGCTAAATCAGTAATAACATTTAACCATAACTGAAAACACTAAAACCCAACACCTTGCTGCCCACCCACCTAAAACCATCTTATGGCAGTATATAAAGACAGGAACCAGACTCAGTCACGGGGAGATTGAACAGTCATTATATAGACTGAAGGATTGTTTATGTGGGCCTAGATGGATTCAGAGACATGTTTTATCATGAGATATTAAACCATCTTTTGAGGCTACCATGATGCAGCCCATTGGTGAAAAGAGAATCACCACCAGGAGCCCACATACGTAGCTTATTTCCCTTGTGCACTCATGCCTTGAGCATCTATGTAGTATAAAAACTTTTTACACAATAAGCATATTGTAACTGCTCCTCACATCCAGGAAGCAATTCCAAGAGCATTAAAGCATTGTCTCCTTTCTGAAAAATATTTCCAGAAAAGTACTGCCTACAGCCAAACTGGGCATTCAGCAGCAGCAGCAGAACAGATGTAACCTCTCATCTAATTTTCATTGTTACTGAGGAATTGAAGGTATCCTGGGAATTTTTATTAGTGGGAAACTAAGAACTGTACATAAAAGTCAATAGTCTTACACAGAGTGAGCACCATCCTTCAAGCATACAATATATACAAGACTTTTTGCACTTCTTGTTGCAAGCTTTTAATTTCTTTTTTATTCACTTCCAGCATCTTTTCAATATTCCAGTTCTACCAAATACTGCAATTCTTTGAATTAATCAACTTAACGCTGCACAGTACTTAACTAAGAACTGTACATAAAAGTCAATAGTCTTACACAGAGTACCATCCTTCAAGCATACAATATATACAAGACTTTTTGTACTTCTTGTTGCAAGCTTTTAATTTATTTTTTATTCACTTCAAGCATCTTTTCAATATTTCAATTCTACCAATACCAACAATTCTTTGAATTAATCAACTTAACGCTGCACAGTACTTAGTCTTCAACAGTACTAGTAGTAAATACCAAAATACAACATAAAACGCATGTTGAAGCACTAAAAAGTGATCTCCTTCAGAATCTGAAGAAAGGACTTGAGTGTAGGAAGAAAGGCCTGAGAAAAAGATGCTCACATTTTCTACGTCTGGAAGAAAGTTAGCTTTTCTGACACAGAATAAATGCAGCTTAGATTCTCCCTGAATCCCTGTGTGAATACCTCTTTGACTATAAAAATCACTTTTAAAGCATTTCTCTCCTCTGCTGGTACACAGGAGCAAGAAAAATCATCAGTCAGTGTAACACAGAGAAAACATACAGTGCCCCAAAGTGCACATAGCAAGTGAACTCGTTTTAAAGATAAGACATGTGACTTCCTCCTTGAGCTCTGTTACAGTATATGAAGTCACCATAACAACTCCTTGTTTGAGACCACATGTTTGACAAAGTCCCCTGACACACAAGCTAGACGTTGTGGAAAAAGCCAACAGCTACTCTTTTCTTTCAAATTCACTAGCTTTGGTAAAATCCAGAATAGTATAGAAAGGACAGCACCCAGAAAAATCTCAGATCTTTATGCTTAGAAGTCTTAAAAAATCACCTACTCCATCACCGTGCCTCAGATGATCATAGTCTCTCCTGGTTACTCTCTAGATTGCATTGTCTCTCCTCACACAATTTCACCTTGTAACTGATTTCTGTAATCTCTCCATGTAAATTAAGTCAATCACAATTTGCAATCTATCCTTCTGAACTAAACTTTGGGATATTCTCTGGAATCTCCCTACAGCTTTTCTGAAGAGACACCCAATATTCTAGCCAAGGCAGTATCCATGTTCAGTAGAAGGATTACCTCATGTCTTGCACACTGCATCCCTGTTCACCAGAAAAAGACAAGCAAGCTGCCTAACAGGACAGCACTGCTGACACAGTTAGCCTCTGCTACACTGCAGCCAGAGAATTCTTCACCCTCTGCAGAGCTCCTACAAAGATGTTCCCCATCTGATACTTGGTGGAAACTAGGCAGAAACAGTCAACTACACAGTATGCTGTGCATAGATGCTTAACAGGGACACATTTCTTCATGTCGTACCCCTAATTTGACATGTGGCCTGAGTCTACCTCAACTTGGTTTCTTCCACAAACTGGTGGAAGGTGTAAGAGTCTTGCAATCTGGTAAGTTTTCTTATTTGGGTCATTAATGGCCTGAGATACTGAGATTTATTGCTTCTTCAAGCATTTTCTGGGTCCTACTAGACAGGTGACAAAACACCTCCACACACAGAAGCATGTGGCTCAAATACCAAGTCAGTCTGCCTTAACATCTGACATAAAAAATATTAAATGTAAAAAGCACACACAGAGGGGACTGCACACAGTAACTTCAACAGAAAAGAGTTCTACCTGATCAAAAATCTGGCAAACCTTTGGAAAAAGACTGCAAGCACCTCCAGACCCTAAAGCAGTCCGGCACTGGGAAAATTTAACTGATTTTTAAGTTTATGCTGTTTAAGACATTTAGCATTGTTAGTACTTACAGTGGTTTTTAGAGTGATGTAAGGATCATGATCATTGCTCCCATAAACTGCCAAAGTAGCCAAAGAGTCTCCGAGTTTTATGTCACCTAGATGGGAATTTCAGAACATTTTTTATATATCAGTAACTGGTGAAGTTAGAAAATCCTGTACCAACACCTGTACTGCAAAACATCAGAATCGGGCTAAACGAACTTCCAAGTTCCAAACATAAGAACCTCAGTAAGCTGAGTTGCTTAGGGCTTTCACGGACTTCTGCTGCTTTGCTCCAGCACTGCAGCAGAGGGAGTGACAGGCTTCTCAATGCTGTTCTCCATTCTTGGGCCAGGGAAGGGGACACTGTTTCACTCACTCACTAAATGACTTACGAAACCGAGACAAGCAAATAATTCAAAATGTGAATTTCCAGCACTAGAAACATAGCACTGTGTAGTTCTAGGATACTAATTTCTTATTACAGCAAGAAGTGAAAAGGTTCTTCACTTACACTACATACCTGACATTTAAATTTTTCTTACCTATGTATTCCTCTTCATCATAGTTTTCCAAATCATATTCACCCAGTTCGTCATCAGACAGATCTTCCCTTTTAGGAGGTGACTTAGCTCTGCCAGGAGTGGCTACATTCACGTCACGTGCCATCTGTCCTTCATCACTACCATCAGCACCATCCCTGTTTGAAGACACACATCCCTGAGCAACTGTGACAGATGTTTAGAGAGCTTCCAGGTAACTGCTGAGGGGACAGCTAACAAGATTTCAGCACACAATCCTGGCTGTTCACATGGTTTTCAAGTCTTTATGCTAAATATTTGGAAATCCATTCACTCCTTTCCTAGCTTTCCCCAAAATACAAAGCAACATTATTCTCAGGCTTCCAAATAACGTTTTTCCTTGAAAACTTTCAGTACAAAATGTGGCACAAGTTTTGCTCGACAGAGCTGAACTGTGTCCAGATCCCTTTCTCTTGCCCCTTTTTTGTGGATATAATGCTCTCAACCTCATTTATGTGCGTAACAAGATAATTAGAGATTCTAAATCTGAGTCTTTGTGATCTTTGCACAGGTAAAAAAGTGACCGATGTTATAACAAATTATACAAAGTACCAGATGTTAAAAAGAGATCATTAACATCTTTGCTTGTTATGGATGGTCTTTAAATTTCCATGGTGAAGTTTAACAGAATGCATAATTACTAACAAACAGCACCTCACATCTTTCCATGTTTTTTAAATTGCAAAAGAAAGGAATCCACTCAAAAACCCAAAAGTTCCCATGCATAAAGGAGAAAAAAGTAACACCACAGACAACAGAAACATTAAACATAACTGGTTAAGAAACTGTCATAAAGTAAGAATCTTCAAAACATTTGAGACTATTTTGGAACCGTTAAAAAACAAAAACAGAACAAACCACATTCTGGGACAAACACTGTTCAGCAATAAAGTCACAGACCCATCTAACAGAAATCGGGGGGATAATATTCACTCAGCTACAAAAGCTTTTACTGCTACCTGTGGCACCTGTTCAGTCACATATACCATGGTACAACCACGCACCCTATGTAGCTGAAACAGAATCAGAAGCCTAAATCTGTGAAGAGATTCAACTGAAAAAGGCCAGAAAATGGAGTAAGACCTCAACACCTCATCTTTTTCTAGACAAAAGAGAGACATTTCTTTATTGTCTTCCATAGATTACGTTTCCTAAATTCATAATTTCTGTTATTCTTGTCATAAGTTTAACTTAAGTAGAGTGACAAAACCTAACAAAACTACAAAGAACTTTTAGTGCTGAGTGGAGAGTCATGCTGTCTCCCATTTCCTATGGGAACCATAAATATACCTGAGTGATGTTTTGCCATTTTTGCCAAAGCATAAACACCAAGTCATTCTGAGCTCCCCTGGGGCCTCCAGACTCGCTCTGATTGTCACGTCTCACCTTCAGCATCCACTTTTTCACAGTCAGTGTGGAGCTTCCATCTCGGTTTGACACATCTCCAAAGCACCTGTGGTTACAAACCCAGCACCTCGTTTCCTCACTCCAGGGGGGAATGGCAGCTCCAGCCAGGACGGGGCCCTGAGCGGCTCTGCAGACTTCACCTGAAACGCTGGGCCAGGCAGGTGCTCGCTGAGGGCTGAAGAACCGCACGGGAACACAACGCCTGCCGCCCTACCCGTGCGGAAGGCGGGACACATGCTCCGGCCGAGGTTCCTCCAACGACCCCCCGGGACGCCGGGCTCCCTCCACACA